TAAGAACTAATCACATCTGCCACAACCACCATTACCACCAACATAATAACAACAACAACAGCAACAACAACAAAATAATAACAACAATAACAACAGACACAGAATATAATGAAAAGTGCCTCCGTGAATATTTGTCACGAAAAAACAATTTTTCTAAAAGGTTACCTTCAAAAATAGAAATGAATTTATGATATATGGAAATGATCATATATCTGTTTTGGCTTTTTTTTTATCATTTCTCATTTTTATCACATAAATATTTTGAATATAACAAATAATTGTGATAGCTTCGACAAGTCACGCACGCAAACAAAGCCTTTTCCGTACCTGTAATGTATATATGTTTTATAAGCATCATCAACAAAAGAGGTGACAGTTTTTTCCAGAATTAATTTACTTAGTCAATTGATATGTTGGAAAAAATAACAATACCAAAGTAATATGAAAAAAATATTCACAGCTATACTAGACTATATCAGCAGAAATATGATCTGTGACAGTATTGGAATCCAATATTTTCATTGGTCAACTTCCTAGTGACGAAATCAGCTAGCTAATCTGACATCGGATAAAATGGCGCAGGCGTTGTTGTTTTTTTTATCCGAGAAAAATATTCCACAAGAAAACTAGTAAATTGAATTAATTTTTTTTTATGATATATTTATAAATGTTTTGGCCGCCGTGGCGTGGATATATTTACTGATAAGTTCTTAAGAATAAGAATAAAAAGTTTAGTTATTATTTTCATTGTTGAATATCTTTATGATAATTTTATGGCGCAACATACATTAAAATAAAATTTTGAAGACTGAAATAAGAAACAAAATTAAATAAGTTTATCTCCCGAGCCAGCATTTACAGAGGTAAGAAAAGAATTATATATATCTATTTATCATATATTTAAAAATTAAATATCAAGAAATATTGATGAAATAAAATAGTTTTTCTTTTTTCGCATTTTCACTGATTTTTCTTCTCTGCAGTGAAACATATTTTCATGTATTTCACTGTTGTCTTGTCGGACTATTTTCTTCTAAATTCAGCCAATACACAAAATTTAAGGGAAAGTTTTCAAAATTATAATGACAAAAAAGAGAAAAATGTAAATAATAAACAGAAATTTCAAATTCTATCTATAAATACATGATTGTACAGAATTTATTTTCATTATTTGGTATGAAACTTATCATATTTCGCTCATGGCTACCGCTACTCATGGGATATTTATTTTTATACCACTCAATGAAAATAAATCTTGTGCATGTACGAGAGATGATCGTATTTATTGAATAAAATACTAAATATCCTCTATATATCATTTGCATACACAATTAAAGTTGCTTTTATCATTTTCTTATTACTTACATTTCTTTATTACTACTAAATTATAATTATATTATTTTATTATTACAGTATTATTACTAACATTATTTTATTATTACAATATTATTACTTACATTTTTTATTACTCTATCATTATTTGCATTATTTTAGTAAAACTATATTATCACTTACATTATTTTATTATTACCTTAGTCGACTGCGAAGCAGCCAAGTCTTATGTGATTTTCTTTGATTTACTGCGGAATGACACGATTTATTTTGCGAGTCTTCAATAAAAATAAAAAAACGACATAAAAAACATTCGCATATATCAGCTTTACACTTCATGGCCAATTATAAATTTCTGGCTTTGTTGCAAAACATTTTTATATGCTTTTTCGTCAAATGGATAGACAATGTTTACAAATAATGGACTGTGCAACTGTCTGTAGTTTACCATGGGATAAATCGTGCGTAAACCTGGTCTTTAACGTTCCTACTATTTCCTACTTTGTCCTACATTTTTATTGCCTTCCTCCTTTTTCCTATTTTTATAACAAAACCTCCTACTTCTCCTACTTTTTGCAAAAAAAAAAAAAAAAAATGTTAAAATAGATAAAAATATAAAATGAAATAAAAAGAAGACAAGACGTGTTTGGAACCAGACAAATGCCCCCCCCCCCCCTCCCCAAGTAATGCCGTATAGGAAGAACCATAACCTAACCTTTGACTTAAGACAAAGATAAAAGATAACTATAAAAATATAGTTTTAAGAATATAGTAACATTAACAAATACTTTCTCATATTCTCAGGGTGTCGAATTATTTCAAGATCATCCATGAATTAATGACAAAGATATGACTAGACACAATGTTCTATTTTGACATTCAAATGTATATGAGCCATGTCATGACAAAACCAACATAATGGGTTTGCGACCAGCATGGATCCAGACCAGCCTGCCATCGCATCCGCGCAGTCTGATCAGGATCCATGCTGTTCGCTATCAGTTTCTCTTCTTGCTATAGGGTTTGTAAGCGAACAGCATGGATCCTGATCAGACTGCGCGGAAGCGCAGGCTGGTCTGGATCCATGCTGGTCGCAAACCCATCATGTTGGTTTTGTCATGACGCGGCTCATATGATATTATTTAGAAATGTGCGTCAAATGTGTCGTAATGTCTGGGGGCGACTTATAAAATGAACCGCGCCATGACAAAACCAAAATAATGGGTTTGCGACCAGCATGGATCCAGACAAGCCTGCACATCCGCGCAGTCTGATCAGGATCCATGCTGTTCGCTTACCAATTCTATTACAAGAAGAGAAACTGATAGCGAACAGCATGGATCCTGATCAGACTGCGCAGATGCTCAGGCTGGTCTTGATCCATGCTGGTCGCAAACGCACTATGTTGGTTTTGTCGTGACGCGGCTCATATAACATTCACCTTTAATTTCTAGACGGTGTTTGTGTGTGATGTGCCACAAATGTATGCCTAGTAATCTTGATATCCATTAATGAATTACAGAATTAATGACTGGATATGACAATTAATGTACTTGTATGAAATTATACCTTATAGTGTTTCTTAAACCTTTGATCATTAAGCTTCAAGACTTGATCTTCTAGTAACAAATAGTTCTAAGCCAAGTTATTACAAAATATGTCAATGAAGGACAAAGAAATGGGCTGGACACAACTGAAGCGTACCCGTCATGTCACAGCATTTTTAAACGAGTACTACAGTACGACCGTAATGGAATTTTTGTGTCGTAACGCTTCCCCTTTAATTTCAACAACTACACAGATCTAATCATTTTAGGTAGTATTTTATTCGGCTTTTCTAAAAGTATACAGTGCACAGCTGACCATTTCTTCGCAGCAATTTTACGCGTGCATAAAACCTCGCTTGTAACAACTTACAGTATTTCTAATTTTGTTATCATTGTGGTATTTTTTCATTGCAATTGAATAGCATCAGATATTGCATGCCGTTCATCATTGTGGCTTTGAATGATTTATTAATATAATGCGTTTGCTCTTGTATCTTATATTACTTATATGTAAACTGAGCTAATCTCAATAAACAAAGAAGCGCAATAAACAAGTTTGAAATTCAGTATCGTTATACATGTTAGATGTACATCGACACTTAAATAGAAGATATTGAATGAGTGTAGGCTTAACTTACTGAATTTATTGAAGAAGTTGAATAAAATTATATTGTGAGTAGTCAGCACTGGTATACGATAAGTATCGCCGATATGTATCGTGACAGAATAATGCCAATGCAGATGACTGTTTTGCCAACTGTATTTATTGCATTATTGTAAATATTTATGTAGTTTGCAATAATTATTTTATTTTTTTATGCAAATAAAATATATTATTTATCGTTTATTTCTTTATATAATTACAACAATGATTTCCATAAAGGATTACAGACGTTTTATATGACGTCATTACATGTGTAACTAATTTTGTCCATAATATTCATTTATTCTCATTAAATCGAATCTAAATACATGTTTCAGCAATAATTGGATATCAAAAACTAGATTGCAACTCGTTTTCTTTATGCAATTCCTACAACTAGATGGCAGTTAAAAAAAGATATTTAGCGTGCTAATTTTTTATTGAAAGTGGTTATATATAGGTAATGAAATCACACATCAAAAATCATTAAGAACTTAAATGAAAAATTGGAAAAAAGACACACACAAACATTTTTCGAAATTTATTTGTAACATCAAACGCACAATTATAGAAGATTAGTAACAAAACTAAACGAGCTTAATTTCTCATTTTGCATGGTCTTTATTCCTCATGGTTTAAAGTTAGCAACGAATCATAAGCAATAAAATGTGCAAAGTGAAATTAAACGCCAGAATCTATAAATAAACATGCAGAACTAATTAAAACTGGGTACCAAGTTAACATGATATTGTCTAAACCGCATACGTGACAATCAACTTTATAAGGTTCCATCATAATTAATCTGGAAATGTTTGCCTTAAAAGTTGACATTTCCGTTATTGGATTTTTCTGCCAACTATTTGCTTTCTAGGTAAGCGTTTGAATTTAGGGCAAGACTGTTCATATGGTTACATATGAAGCGAAAAAAGACATAAAGATCTTTTGCTAAAATTTGAACACTTTCTGTAATGCTATGAATAACAGTATTTGACGTTTTTAATGTCTTCGTCGTCATCATTTTCATCATCACCACCATCACTACTATCATCATGACAATCATCATCATCATCATGAGCATCATCATGAGCATCATCATTATCATCATCATCATCATCATCATCATCATCAGCAGCAGCAGCAGCAGCATCATTATCAGCATCATCATTATCATCATCATCATCATAATCACCATCATCATAATCATCATCATCAGCAGCAGCAGCATCATCATTCTCATCACCATCACCACCATTATCATCACCATCATCATCACCATCACAACCACCACCATCATCAACATCATCATCATTTTCATTAACATTATAATTTATGTACTGAATTAACGTTTCAAATGTCCACATTGTAGAGAAAAAGTTTGAAAATGTTTTTTTGCCCACCTTATGAATACATGTAGTTTTAAGTAAAAAATGCTACTTAGTTTTTATGTTTTACAGTTGATGTCGACTGATGACGTGTTTCCTGTAAATGTTTGTCATTCCTAAACATGGATATCTTGAACCAATTCCCCGAGTACAGACACGCTGTGAGAATATGGAAAACAATACCACCGATATTCCTCGTGCTAGGAACTCTGGGAAATTTGTTGACTATTGTGGTTTTAATGAGAAGCAAAAGCCGACTGTCCTCTACAGCACTTTACCTTTCTGCCCTGGCTGTGTCAGATTTACTAGTACTTTGGTTAGGACTTTTGCGTCAGTGGATAATATACATGTTTGATATTGACGTGCGCCACCTGTCAGAAGCCGGATGTAAGATTCACATTTTTCTGGTCTATTTCGCGACGCAATGTTCATCGTGGCTCCTCGTTGCTGTGACGTCAGAGAGGTTCATTGGTGTCTGGTTGCCTCATAAAGTAAAACAAGGATGCACTCCACGTATTGCTATAGTAACGATTTCAGTAATTGTTGGCAGTTTGATGTTACTTAACGCACACTGGTTTTATGGGATGGGCGTGAAGGTTATTGTCTATAACAATGTGACATATGAGTTTAAATGCAACTCTATATATGATCATTATTATGACTTCCTTGGCTTCAAATGGCCTTGGATTGACCTTTGTTTCTTCAGTCTGGGACCTTTTACAATCTTACTGTTTGGAAACGTTTCAATCATTGTACGTGTGCTCATCAGCAAACATAAAACACGTACACAAATAGCACCTTCTAACGTAGGGGCGGCAAATAAGAAATCGGACAGGACATCTCAGCTTACAGCCATGTTGGTTGTATTGAACGTCGTTTTTATTATTTGTACAATACCAATTTCTATTTACTTAATCGGCGAACCTAACTGGCTAAAGAAGTTGGAAACCTACCACGACTTGGCCGTCTTGAGATTGTGGTGGTCAGTCGTGAATACATTTATGTATCTGAACAATACTATTAACTTTATACTGTATTTTCTCAGCGGATCACGCTTTAGACAAGAAGTTAAATCCTTATTGTGTGGCGGGCGTGCGCGTTCCATTTTCGGTGCCGTTACCACGACAAGGATCGGACCCGGTTCGGCTGCGATAAGGTCGAAGCAGAACACTGTGAACACAGTTCATACTGAATGCGATCCATCCTCAAACATATCAGTTGTCCCAATGGCACAACAACCGTCCGCAGTTCACAATCCACAACGAATAGTGACATTGGAGAGCAATGCATAAAAAAGTAGTGTTACAAAAATGATAAAGGTAGCGAGTTCATGAACTTTGTTTTTGACACAATTGTAACGGTTTTTATTTTGATAATTTTTACATTCAAATGTATAATTATGAAATAATATATCCCAAACAGTGATTTTATTGCTCAATAACATCACTGTTTGGAGTTCGGATGCGAGGAATTATATCACCAGGGCGTAGCCCGAGTGATATATTGATGTGCATCCGAACGACAAACAGTGATGTTATCAAGCGATAAAATCACTGATTTGGATATATTATTTCGATTCTAACACGACAATAACAAATAAATGTTGCGGTACTTGATAGTTAAGCAAAATCGCGCCTGATTTGTTTCCGAATTTATTTTCAGGCGCGTCGGATTTTTAGTGGTTAGGTCAAGTGTATAATGATTACGTCACATGTCTAAATATAGAATGTCAAACTGTGCATCTGTTGCATAATAACACACACTTTCTGTTATTCTTTGTTCAATAGGGAAAAATGTGGGTTGTGTTAGAATTAGTTACAACGGGTATTTTTTAAATTCTAATAAAACAGAATAAACACGATTGAACCAACTGGTAACTGTGCCGATGACATTATCCAAATATTGCTGTATATCCTTAATTGTAAATTTGTAATTATTCAAAGCCGAGTCAAACAGAGAAAGTAAATATCACGTTGTAAAATATAATTACAAAAGATAGCACAATCTGATCACGAGTTGACCTTCATTATGTTTCACCATATGCTCGATATTAAAAATGTTTAAATTTTATCACTCTCGTTTGTATGTCACAAACATTTGTATATCACGAGCATTTGTTTGACACATATATTTGTATATCACGAACATTTGTATTTCACGAACATTTTAATTTCAAGACCATTTTTCTGTTAAAACGTTTGCTTTAATGTCATGAGCATTTGTCTGAAACGAGCATTTGTATGTCACGTGCAATTATATGTCGCGAGCATTAATTGTCACAAACATTTGTAAATCACGAGCATTTGTCTGTAACGAGAGTTTGTCTGTCACGACCATTTGTTTGTCACAACATTTTGTATGTCACGAGCATTTGTATGTCACGAACATCTTTGTTTTCATCATTTGTCAGTTACTATATTGAGTAATATCTAGAAATAAAAAAATAAGATTGTATGTTTACAAAACTTGTATATCTGTGTCGTAAAACTTCTTCATTTAGAATTCATTAAATTCGAAAATTACCTCAATTTTGATAAATATTTTCAGATTTTTTCTCAGACTTATCTTCATTATATGAATTCTTGAAGTATCTAGTATCATTGTGATATTTAATATTTCATATGAATGTAAAATGTTGATAAAAAATGAATACTTGTAATAACGCCAGATGTATATTCATAAAATATCACTTCTGGTATTTCTTTTTTATTTATTTCAGAAATGGCATACGTAAGATAGGAACAGATTGTTTCTAAAAAATCTTTTCAAAATGAAATATTAAATGATAAAATATTATTTTTCTTAAGAGTTTGCAAAAATATTGGAATATTACATATAATAATGTTTTATATATTCAGAGAAATGAATAATAATAATAATAATAATAATAATAATAATAATAATAATAATAATAATAATAATAATAATAATAATAATATTAATAATAAGAAGAAGAAAAAGAAGAAGTAGAAGAAGAAAATAATAATTATTATTAAATACTAACTTTAAAGGGACTCCACATAGTTTTTTTTTGACATGACTGGACTGAAAACAATTTTAGAGATTAATGTTCCATTTGATGTAGGTCTTGACCACTCTCTCCTGTGCAGAAATTTCTGATCATTCGCTCACTCCGTTTTTCATGAAAAATAATTATAATTCTCAAAATTGAAAAGCGTTGGAACGCTTTCCTCTGAAATCGGGATAAAAAAGTTCAAAAATACGATTTTCAATATATTTCTGAGTAAATTTCATTTTGTGTATTGTATGTTCGTCTTTTTTTAAGTGTCTCAGCTAATCTATGCAAGAAATTCAAATTTTATGTTTTTGACCTCAGTGGAGTTCCTTTAAAGTTTTCTCTTGGTATCCCCAAAAATGTATTCTATTTAAGAAATTAAGCAGGTTAACATTTATAAAGCTATACATTCGTGTCTAGGTATTGTAAAATTATTGTTTACATTGTCATCAAAATGATAACAGAATGCCTTGAATGAAGTGCGTGAATTCATCGCCAAACCAACAGTGGAAGCTTTTTTATATTAAATTTTGTTCCGGGACGTTTTAGGCTGTTTCCGTCTTTTGCCATATTTCTATTTGGTACTCTACAAAGTGCCTTTAGCGAAAGCTCCATGTCACGCATTAATAAAAACAACAAAAGTAACAAAAAATAAATAAATAATATTAAACAAATAAAATATAACAACAAAAACAACACCCCCTCCTACACCAAAAATCAACAACAACGAAAAAACCCCCACAAAAAACATCAAAAAGAAAAAAAGCAAAACAAAGAAAAACAAGCAAAACTGTAGCAATAGGATGCGTAAATAAAGTAAGCAACTCACGAATACCGGCAGATTCAAGATTCAACATATATTTGTTCTGTCTTTTAAAGAATTATAAAACGAAATCATATTAAACACAGTATATAAACGATTTGAACCCCAACCGGATCTTGTGAGAAGATCTCGGCATCTAAACGTACAATCAGGCGGGATGACACATTAAACTATTAAAGATCGGCTTAATTTCTGTATGTTACGATATGTTAACATTTGAAACATATTGAGATATACTTTATCTTTGCTTATATATACATCCATAACCTTCTTCGTAAAATATATGCGCATAAAACGCTGTGATCTTCGCCTCATGTTTTGTTTATGTCAACACACGCCGATTACACTAGCAAATTTATGCCTAAAATTGTTTTACTTCACTATAATTCATATCTGAATCTTTACTTTATTGTCTTAACCTCATACTACCGGACAGACACTTGTGAAAATAGCTTTGAATATTGATAAAACATAGTAAATAATAGAGGCGATATTTCTGATAACTGTACCCGTCTTGCTAAAACAATTTTAATGATCTGTACCCTACTTGTGTTTTCACTGAACCATTACTTGCAAGTCACTTTTGATGATATTTATTATGTTTTTATCATATAATCCAAATTTTATTGTGCAGAATACGAAGTTATTGTGTCACAAGAGCATGGTACATGTTTTAGTTCTATGTAAGCAACTAAAACTGCATATGAATGGAGCTTCGTCATGTTTTCACTGTCTACGAAAATACCAGCATGAAGTGGCTTGTTATACGAACCAGAAAGTCAATTATTTCTTGATAGGAATAATTAACTATCAAACCTCATCTTCACATACCATTCATATTTCTTTTGAAAGATATAAAGCTAAAATATTACGTATGTACTATAAATTTTTATATTTAGTTCAACGGAATTGTTGTTAGTTTTGACGTGACCGTTATATAACATCACGTATCAATAAACCTCGAAATATCATTACAAGATTATAAGATTTTTTGCAACATGTTGAAAGCTTTACACCTACCGTTGATTTCATTCTGCTTTTTAAAACAAGGTTTTATATGTTGTCAGAAATTCATTGACTTTCTATTTCTGACATGTACGACTTTTATTCTTGTATATCTTTCATTGGCGTCGACAATTTTGGCATCTTTTTAAACGGAGAATATTCGGGAATTTTTGAAATTTTAATTGTCAGTGTTTCAGCTATTGGTGTTATAAATTTCTTTTTTTCGTTTACGTTATTGGCTCCGACGCTGACATTTTTTTAAGTAGGAAATTTTATTCTGATCATTATTTATTCTTATTTTCAAGTTGCAGTCTGAATGGCGAATAATTATGTGGTCAATGACGGCATTGAAATTCGTAGATATGTAGTCTTTACTGAACAGTATATGCAGTTGTATTCTTTCCTGGTGATCTGAAAGAAAAATATACATAACACTATATATTTTATTACATAAATGATTAACAATAGTATCAGTTAAACCAATTCTCGGTAAATACCTAAGATCCCACCTTATATAATAAAATTCTATTACAATCATTTATATTTTCTCGCAATAATTGATACAAAATCGCAATTAACATAAAGGTTTTCTCCAATTAATCCTTAAAAATACTCACAAGTCAGGGTACAGATAAAATTCGTAAACTCACAAGTAGGGTTCACAATCACCAGCAAGTAACGTTCAGTTTACGGAAATAACCTCCTTGGTAAAACTCTTAAATTTATGTTCAAAGTACAGCAATATGTTATGCATATGACTAAATTATCGTTTGTTATTGATTACTTTAGTAGTTCTATATCACAATTCAATGTTAAAGTAAATCAACCTTGGAATAAGACGGATTTTTGTTCGTGTTCAGTGTTGATCACATGAAAGCAGTTGGTGAGTTTCGATTATTTTATAACCTTCGTGCTAACGTTTATGTTTTGCATAACTTAGACTTTTAATAAAGTTTCTCTCTTACAATATAAATATAGATTTACTAACCTTACGTCCGTCAGTATCAATATAAATACCAATATCGTAAACAAGTGAAGCGGCAGAATATGGCTGACACTAAAATCTTCTCACAAGATCCGGTTGGGGTTCAAATCGTTTATATACTGTGTTAAAGGCACAGTATCAAAACATCTTAAAACTCATGAAGTATAGGCCTACTGCAATGTTGATTATTCACATCAAATTACACCTTTTTCGGTGATATTTAGCGTGTGTGTTTTAACTCAGTAAGGGGCAAACCGTTATTTTCGTGAGCAAGACACTTTTCACTCAGTCCTTAGTACTGGTTATTCTGGAA